GAAGGTAGAGAATCTAGGGTTTTCAAATCGAGAGGTATTTGACTTCGATTTTTGGGGAATTGTGGAACATTATGGTTTAATGGACTAAGTAGCGAAGGATTTAGAGTTAAAAAAGCGATAAAGTACAAATCTAGGATTTCAGTTTCATGAAAATCACAGAGAAAAGAGTCGGGTCTACTGTGTGTGGAGGCTTCTTCAAATGGAGACAATTTTTCGGTGGTCTGGAGAACCCCCCAAGTATGGTAAGTTACTATAACCTAAATATTCCTTCTTCGTTTGATATTGGTTTATATTCAGTTTGCAAATGTGTGGTCCTCCTGTTGACAATGAAGTTTTGGCTTTAAGGTTGAAAAAAATGTAAGTTGGAGTCTTTATTATTGTCTGTGGTCCCATTGTTGTCGGTTTGTCATGGAAGTGATTTCACACTTGCACGTGCCTGCACTTACTTTGTCTTCATTGTCATGAAAAAAAATGTAAGCATACCTTTGTGTAATGTGGTAGATAAAGCAAAGTTGTGTACTCTTGAACTCCACCACTTTGGTTTGTTGGATAATGGCATGTATAAGGGAGGCAAAGTATGCTATGTTGACAACTGTATTCATGACTATCTGTCATTATTGGATTTAAAGAAAATTGGGATAGATCTTGGGTACGAAGTTGATATAACACAAAGGGTTACAAACTTAAAAGTTTACTATAAGGGGCCTGCAAAAAGTGGTCAGCATGCTGTGAATGAGGTTGTAAATGATAGTTGTATTCCAGGGTTGGTTGGGAGCATTTCATCAGATCAAGTTTTGGTGTTGTATTACCATGATCCTACTCATAACAACGAGCTAGAGGGTGTAGATGAAAAGCAACAACAACATAGTGAAATTGAAATTGGCAATGAAGAGGAAGAGGAGGAAAAATAGGATGTTATTGTTGACAGTGATTATGAAGTAAGTGAAGAAGAAAATGGTAATCAAGAGGCTGCATATGGTCACGATGCACCAAATGTTGAATATGCACAATGTTTTGAAGAGATGAAGGAAATGCCTATTAATGAAGCTACAGGGGAGATATCAGATGATGTTGAAGATAGTGATCGACTTCCTTCTAATGGTGATACCTCTGGTAGTGAGGAAGATGGTCAAAAAAAGACAAGCAAGAGGAAATGGAAGATGCCAACTTTTAAACAGTTTAGGAAAGAAACTGATTTGTGAAATCCAGAGTTTAGAATTGGAATGCAATTTGCCAATAAGGATGAACTAAAGGAAGCTATTAGGGAGTATGCAATTGTGCAAGGGAGGAATGTTAAATTGGTGAAGAATGATAATAGAAGGATTCAAGCAAAGTGTGCAGGTCACACGAGATCCCCATTTATTCTGTTTGCTTCCAAGATAGATAGAGATGAGCAGACATTTGCCATAAAGACTCTCTCCTTAGAGCACGAGTGTACTAGAGTGGACAAACTAAAATATACTAATTCAAGGTGGCTGTCAAATAGGTTTGCTGACAAGATTAGGAAAAATCCTGAGTGGGATGTAGGGGCATTCCAGTCTGAGGTATTGGAAAAGTATATGAATGTTTCAAGGCATCTGATTTATAGAGCAAAGACCTTGTCGAAGGTGATCATTGAAGGAAGCTATGTGGAGCAATATGCGAGGCTATGGGACTGTGTAGAAGAATTGAAGAAGGCTAACAAGGGCAACACTGTGATTATAAAGAATAAGATGAAGGGTGATGTACCTGTGTTTCAAAGAATTTATGTATGTTTGGAAGCTTGTAAAAGGGGATTTTTGGCATGATGTAGACCTCTCATTGGTATAGATGGATGCCATTTAAAGGGACCTTACACAGGGCAAGTTTTAACAGCCGTTGGTGTTGATGGGAATAATGGAATGTACCCAGTTGCTTATGCTGTTGTAGAGGTGGAATCTAAAAGTAGTTGGATTTGGTTCCTTGAACTTTTGATTACAGACTTAAAAATTGAGAATGGGAAAGCTTGGGTGTTTATAAGTGACAAGCAAAAAGGTATAATACCTGCAATTGAGACATTGCTTCCAACAACTGAGCACAAAATGTGTGTTAGGCATATCTACAGCAACTTCAGGACAGAGCATGCTGGACTTGCACTGAAAAACATTCTCTGGGCTGCGGCAAGAGCAACTATCATTCCCTGGTATGAAGCAGAAATGGAGAAGATGAAACAGCAAGATGAAGAGGTGTGGAAGTGGCTTATCAAAAGACCAGCCAAAAATTGGAGTAGATCTCATTTTGAGCCACATTCTAAGTGTGATCTGTTGTTGAACAACCTCTGTGAATCCTTTAACTCTTGCATTTTAGATTCAAGAGACAAGTCTATCTTAACATGTCTAGAAAGGATTAGAGTTTATATCATGTTAAGAATGGCTAACAGAAGGATTGCTTGTATGGTTTGGAGACATCCAGTTGGGCCTAGGATTTTCAAGATCACTGAGAAGAACAAGTTGGGAGCTAGTCAATGCATTCCTAGATTAGCAGGTGAGAGCAAATACCAAGTGAGCCATATGTATGAGGGAGAGTATGTAGTGGATCTAAAAGCCAAGACTTGTTCTTGTAGAAGATGGGATTTGTGTGGGATCCCATGTTCTAATGCTATTTCTTGTATCTTTCAAAAGGAGGCCAATGTGTTTGACTATGCACATGACTGTTATAAGAAAGAAGCCTACCTGAGTTCATATGAACCTATGGTACATCCAATACCATCCATGGACCAGTGGCAGAGAACTAATTGGCCTCCAATTAAACCTCCTCCATATAATAAGCAGCCTGGAAGACCCAAGAAATCAAGGAATAAAGAACCAGCTGAGGTCGAAGTACCTGCTCCAGTTCCTCCAAACCCTTTGCCCCCATTTTACAATCCACCACCTACTAAGTTGAGAAGGATTTATGTAAAGTTAAGATGCTCTGTTTGTGGCCAGGAGGGACATAATAAGACACGGCATGCCAACCAAGGGGCAGCACAGGTATTTGGGTTATATTTTCTTTAATTTAATTTCCTTTTTTTATTATTTACTTTAATTAGTTTTTTGTTTTTGTTATTGTTTAGTTTATTTATTTTATGTTTTTAGGCCCAGCCTAATCAGCCCAACCCAACTAGAGGCAGAGGGAGAGGGAGAGGTAGAGGTACTACTACAGGAAGAGGGAGAGGAAATGGGAGAGGACAAATGCCAATTGGAACTGGATATGGAGGAGGAAATGTAAGTGACAACTCTGTCATACTACTTTGGTTGGTTAATATGGTTCAAATTTAATTCATGTACTTTGGTTAGTTAATATGGTTCCATTTTATTTTAGGTTGGAAATGGGACAACACAAATGCCTTCATCACATCCACTCTCATCATCACAGCCACAAATGCCTTCATCACAGCCACTCTCTTATACTGGAGCTACATCATCATCATCACAACCACCCAACATTGCTGAGGTTGCATCACAACCATCAAAGTCTCCTGCTAAGAGATTCAAGTCTCCTGCCAAGAGATGTGGTGAAGAAAACTAGGAGGATGTGTTTTTTGAACTAGATGGATGTGTTTTTTGAACTAGTTGGATGTGTTTTATCAACATGTTAGTTATGAATGGTTTGTTGGATGTGGTTTTTGAGTCTTTGGGCTAGAACTTAGTGTGGATGTTTTGTAAGGGATGTTTTTTGTATTTGGTACATTTTGGAACCTGAACTGGGTGTTTATGTTAGCACAAGTTTAACTCAAAAACATAACCAAATCATAAGCTAGAAGGGTACAAAATGATATGTAAATATGCACCGATCATTCATCTATACTTATACTTGTGTTTCACTTGGAACTTGATTTGGTCCATTTTGGAACCTGTAACTGGTTGTTATATATGATGAAGAAATTGTTTATATTTCTCACACCTCTTGATCGACACCCACTACTATTTGTCCAGCTTTTCTATATCTGTTCATATCACAATTATCCACTCATGCCCTTTCATCAACAAAATGGAAACAAATTGATTACACCAACACCAATATGTCCACCAAACTGAAACTGAAATTTCATTGCAAAATAAACTACATATCGGTTACATTTCCACCTAATTGATCATAAGCTTTTTAGAGTTTCCACCAGGAAATGTCAACCAATTGCTCAAGATACAGAGCATCATCATAATCCCCAAAAACCCAAGACCCAATGACAGAAATGAAACCCCCCAAATCTGATTCTCTCTTGGTCATTGGCCCATTCTGTTCTCTTCCAATACTCTTTTTTGCTTGCCTAATTCTCGAACTTTGTACTCCAATTCCTTCTTTTCTCTCTCCACCATTTTCAGCTTATCTTCCACTTCTTTCTTCTGTTCTTCTATTAACTTTAGGTCCTCTTCCATTGCTCTCATTCTTCTCAGCAACCCAGGAATTAGTTCTTTTCCTCTTGCACAGGTCGTTGCGTCCAGCCACTCCCAATGATGCCCATTTCCTATGTTTCTCTGCAAAGTATGTTTTCTAACATCAAAGCTAAACCCATCAAGCAACAAAATCAAATTTCACAGATGCACTTACTCGACTCATCTCACAAGCCTCAAATCTTCTCCCAGGATTTAAATCAGTCCATGAAGTCCATGTTTTGATATATCCCCCACACCTGCATAGCTTCCTTGCACTAGGGCTCTGATTTGTTGATGAAGAGGAAATCTGCGACATCTTTGCGCATGCACTGTGTGGGCTTTGCCAGATTTCCTTTGAATTTCCAAAAATTTCAACACATCTACTGTTTTTATGTGGATTTCATCGAATATAAATGGGAATTGGGGATTTATTTGGTGCCAGATTCGACATTTTCCGGAGGGAAGTTACTTTAGATGGGTTCGTGGACATTGTAGACTTGAAAAGAAAAATTTGCCCTTTAAATTGACGCCACGTTAGAGAGACTTGATGGAAGGACTATTGGTGCAACATAATACCTAGTTGAGTGACCCCTGCAACTAATAATTGAATTGAGGGACCAAAGTGTAACTACGGGTATAGTTTAGGGACCATTGCTGCGAATAACCCAATATATTAAAACCGTTTAGCCGGGCGGCTATACTTTACACATATTAATATATTAAAACAGTATCGCCGCACGGCTATACTTTGTACATATTAATATATGCTATACTGTTTAAATATTAATATATTCAAACAGTATTGCCGTTCGGCTATACTTTGTACATATTAATATATTAAAAACATCTAGCCGTGCGGCTATACTATTTAAATATTAATATATTCAAACATTAGAAATATGTATGTATATATATATATATGTATACATATGTAAAAGACAATAGCCGCTCGTCTAGACTATTTATTAATGACAATTTAAATAAAATAAAATAAAAACCAGTAACACCGCATGCTATAATATTTTTTTAAAATTAAAAAAAAATCGAGGCTAGCCGCACGGCTATACTATTTTCTACAGAAAAAATAGAGCAGCCCACTCTGCGAAATAGTATAGCCGCCCGGCTATACGTTTTAAAAAACATTTTAAAATTGGGTATAGCCGTGCGGCGCTACTATTTTTAAATATAAAAACAAAGGACCCCCCACCCATTAGGCGCCACGCGTCAACACATGTCTTTTTTAAAAAAAGTGGTGATTTCCCCACTCCAATTGTATTCATTTTATAACTAAAAAAGGAGTGTAAGTAGATAACAAGAGAGTGGGGAAATCATTACCCTTTAAAAAAGAGAACTAAAAACACGGAGTATAGCCGAGCGGCTGTACATTTTTTAAATATAAAAAAAAGCCTCTATCGATTAAAGCCACGTGTCAAAAACAAGTACAGCCGACCGGCTATACTATTTAATAAAAAAGAACCATCCTAGTTGCAATAGTTTGTACGTTATAGATATTAACTTGCAACATATCCAAAGTAGATATTAATCTTCCACTATATGATATTTTAATATAATTTTTATAACATATGTTATTCCTATTCAATAATAAGTGAGATTTATTTATATAATACGTGAATTTTGTGTCTTACTGAAAATTTTGTAAAAAAAATAAGTGTATAAAATGTTAGAAATACGTACATACCTATATATATATGTAAAAGACAATAGCCACTCGTGTAGACTATTTATTAGAGACAATTTAAATAAAGTAAAATAAAAGCCAGTAATTCCGCCTGCTATACATTTTTTGTTAAAAAATTAGAAACAAATGGAGTATAGCCGATCGGCTATACTATTTTCTACAGAAAAAACAGAGCAGCCCGCTTTGTGAAATAGTATAGCCGCGCGGCTGTAATGTTTTAAAAAAACTTTAAAACTGTGTATAGCCGTACGGCTATACTATTTTTAAATATAAAAATAGAGGACCCCCACCCATTAGCCGCCACGTGTCAACACATGTCTTTTTTAAAAAAGAGAACTAAAAACACGAAGTATAGCCGAGCGGCTGGACGTTTTTATTTTATTTTATTTTATTTTATTTATTTATAGAAAAAAGAGCCTCTATCAGTTAAAGCCACATGTCAAAAACAAGTACCGCTGCCCAGCACTATTTTTTAAATAAAAAAATCGTAGTATAGCCGCCCGGCTATACGATTTAATAATAAAAAAAACCATCCTAGTTGCATTAGTTTGTACGTTATAGATATTAATTTGCAACATATCCAAAGTAGATATTAATCTTCCACTATATGATATTTTAATATAATTTGTATAACATATGTTATTCTTATTCAATAGTAAGTGAGATTTATTTGTATAATACATGAATTTTGTGTGCCTTACTGAAAATTTTGTAAAAAAAATAAGTGTAGAAAACGTTAGAAATACGTATGTACTGCTATAGCCGTACGGCTATACTATTTTTTAATATAAAAACTGAGGACCCCCCACCCATTAGGCGCCACGCGTCAACACATGTCTTTTTCTTAAATAATTAGTTAACTAATCGGTTTTAATTTAAATCACTTTGCCCATTTTTTGATTAAATAAATATATTAATTAACCATTAGGCATTTAAGAAAAGGTCATACCCACAAGTCACTCAATTTGGCCACTTGCATAGCCAATACGAACTTTTCTTCTTCCAAGAGTAAGTTTTATAAAGACCTCCAAGGAACTCTAGTGTTCCAATGTGGGAGCTCACACATATTTGCAATGCCTTGGAAAACCATTAGGCATCTAACTATTAGTATTATTCATGAACAAATTAACTAGCAAATATACTTCACCAAAAGTCACCTTTAATTTCTAAAAACAATTCTTTATTTTTAATAAAAGAAAAAAATATTCTTCCTTTCATTGACACGTTCTTTTTAAAAGAGTTTTGTATCACTAAAACTAGCCTCTCTACATGCGCTTCCGCGCCTGCGAGAGGCTTTTAAAAAAAAAAAAAAAATATTATTTTAGAATTAAAAAAGATAATGGGTAGTTGTATTCCATAAAAATAGGATCCATTATCTGATTTTTCTTTTAATTTTAATTTTTTTAAATATGAACAAGTGTGAATTTACCATATTATCATCATTTAATTAATAATTTCAATTCTTAATGTTTGCATTAACCAAGGACATTTTTTGGTATTTTGAATGTTTCATCATTCTCTGCCTTTTGCTTTATATATATAGATATAGATTAACCCTAAACTTATATATATTGTTCATGAAAGATGCATAAACAAATGAATTAGCTTTCAAAAAATATGTCTGGAATTATGAATTAGCTTTTCTAATAGCAACGCTAACGCAGGGAGAGGACCTTTTCATGGCTTCTTTTCTCCCACTCATTCCTCTCCAATATCAGATGGTTTCTTTTCATGGCTACGTCGAGAAGTTGAGGAGGAAATGCCACTTATTTATTATAGTTTTTATTGTATTAGTGTGTGCTATGGAAAATTCAAGTGTGTGGATGATTGCATGCGGCGCCATTTTGATTTTTGAGTTGATCCTCTGCTTGGTATACCTCTACTCTACTTAAGCAGTACCATTTCGTTGTCTTACAAGTTCTATTTCTTAAATATCAAACCATTAATTTTGAAATCTATGTATAAAATTCAAAATCAAACTAAAATTCCTCGTAAGATATAAAAGGTCATAATACTCCTACATATTTACATTGTTTGCCACTAGACATCAGATAAGTCAACTTGACCGTTTTTAAGCACTCTCATTTCTAATTAATACTTCCTCATTTATAGCATATCAATAACTCTGGTTTTTTTTTTTTTTTTTTGGCATTCCTTCTAATCCCTAAAATTTCGACCAATAAAAGATCCTTAAATTTTCGACCAATAAAAAATCCCTTAAATTTTGTCCAAATAAAATAAAGTAGGTAAATTATTGTCAATACAATATAATGTGCCTACAAATTTACCTATATATCTTGTATATATCTAATACGGGTAGGTAAATTATTTTCACAATATACCTATAAATCTGCAGGCTTTAATATATCTATAATATATCTATAATAGGTGAATTACAAGTTATATTATTACATAATAGGAACTTATTAGGTAAATTATATCAAAAATGCATTTAT